GGACAGTCATACCGCAATTGTGTTGAAACATTTTTGGGGCAGTAAGTAACGTCAGAATATTGTTTAAAATAAAATATTCCATCCCAATCAAATCTAGGTCAAAGGGTCAAATTGCGTGCCTATAATTATAGATAGTTAAAAACTAAATATATTTAAATTGTTGACGGCTATTCAACGTTTGTTCAAACCAGAATAAAAAAAAAGGTAGTGTATACATTAGCGATATGACTGAGATATCATGGCATTTGTTTACAATATTGTACCGGCTCTAGTATTGGACACAGATGAAGAGCCGTTCAGAATTTATAATAGTTAACACTCGTTGTATATCCCCAAACATTTTGACTACCCCTGTGCCGGTGATCAATGTTTGGGCAAGCGGTCGGTGTTTTCGATAAGCGAGCGAGAGAAAAAAAAACGGTAAAATGTGGTCGTTTTCCGGTTGGAAAATACAGTGAGGTCGGAAATTAAGCGATCGTTTAAAAAGTGGGAAGTTGGGCAAAATGAGTACTGTGGTTCAAGTGATATTAGCATATTTCTCATTTAATTTTAACTCGTACAATATTTATTTACTCACTGTTTACTATAGCTAGAGCGCTGTACGTGTCTTCACTTTCAGGTTAGTTCTTCCGCCGATTTCTCGTAACCAGGAACGTGAATTTTTATTTGGGATTTCGAGAAACATAACATGAATCGTTATGGCATTCATAACACAACACCTCTCCATGTTTCAACTTTTAAGTTGTCAGTTAACAAGGTCTTTCATAGTAGCATTTCTATTGGATTGACGTACTAGCATGAATGGTATCAATTATCAGTGTTCACTGATGACATCATCTGACTGGCCCTCTAGAGGCGAAATAACGCCAGGAAAAGCGGAAGTTTGTCGTCTGCTTCACAGTCCGTTTTATACCCGATATTTAGGGCATTTCGCAGCACATACAAGTTGTATTTATCGACAGAATTCATTCATAGATCTCAAATTTCATGTTCAGCGTGTCAAAAGCCACACCTCTGCACCCCTTTAAGCATTGGAATTCACTTAGACCAGAACTACAAAATGCCAATATTAGTAGATATTTTTTTTTAATTGTCTGAAAGCTGAACTTGTATCTCAATATTCGGATTAATTATACGACTATTGATTGACAACTCACTACAGACTGACTGATTAACTGATTGACAATCCAACTAATAGACTGATAGTTTGTACAATGTGATTGATTGTTTTACGATTAGAAAAATATTAATCTATTTATTTTGCAATTAAGTGACTTATTTATTCAATTAAATTATAATTGTTCACCATATCAGGATAGGGTATAAAAATACATATACATATATAGTACTACCTTGTGATATTTGATCGACAGACTGTTTGTTTGTTTGATTTTGCAGTTTAGTGATTAGTTTATTTTGTGGAAAATGATTTTATTAAATTTAGTGATTTGTTTATTATGCGACAAAATAATGTTCATATTCACTCAGCAATTTCAATGACTTATTTATTTAATTTTGATATTTAGTAATTGAACTATAATTTTGCGCCATATCAGGATAAAAATATATGTATATAATAAATTTATGATAATCCGCGCGTCAGTACAATATTATTTCTTTCTCCGGGGCAAGGACTCAACTAGCTCAAATGAGCTATTTCCATGACCCACACCAGAATCCGTTGCAATGGTAAAAAGGACAAATTAATTGTGTTATGTATATTTTCTTTTTCTGGTGTAAATTGCAAAATAAATACAAATCATTATTACTATATTGTATTGAATTCTCTGGAGATTTTTTTAATTACATTATGTTTTAATTTTTGTACATTCACTCTAATGGCTTGTAGTACTGGATAGACATAATAATAGTATAATACATTATTCTCTTGTATTTTTTTTTACAGTAGAAATTTCACGAACAAAATGTAATTTAAATTCCCATACAATCATGGGCATTCACAGCCCCTGAACACATAGGAACCTTGTTTCAACGCCGCTTTGAAATTGACTGTATTGGGGTTGTTACACACAACAGTACGCACATTCAAGTATGGCTGTGCAAATAAACACACTTTACAACAGTGTAACAAATGGAAGTTCTCCATTCAGATTGAAATATGAATGTTAAATAATTCATTCATTTATATGCGGCTTTCGAATCGGGGTCTACACTCACCGTATTAAATAATTGGGATATTAAAAAAATAATCTCGTTATTAGTAAGTTATTTATATCCCACCTGCATGAATCTGATTTTTAAAAATAGAATCAACAATAGAATGTATTCTTCCTCCGCGTAAAATATAGGCCTATCGGTATAATTTATGTTTTTAAAGTTGCGAACTTTTATTGAAACAATTGTACATCTATATATTTACTATTTAACTTGCTTCAATTATCTTGCAGAGCAGTGTTTTGCATATATGGGTTGTATTTTATATACGATATAAGTATGTGGCGGATTAATCGAAATATTCGGCGATGGTTAGTAAACCGGCGTGTTGACGGCCATTTTCGAACCTGAACAGAAGATCGGCAGGTTTATTGAATTTTCTGTCTTATTTCTCTGTAATCTATTGAAGAAAGAAAATATAATATTTTATCACCATGGATGAAGAATATGACGTAATCGTATTGGGTACTGGTCTGAAGGTAAGACAACATTTCTTGAGTCAGGTACCGCCCAGTTTGGTACGCCCGTTCGCTGCTCTGACACGACAAATTTATATTGTGATGTCATGTGTCTGGGCATATAGCTCTTTGTAGGCCGATTTCCCTCCACACAGCATCGAATAAAATGATACTTTCGTGTACCTTAAAAATCAATCGTTGTGCGTAAATACTGTCACTTTAAAATGTATCTCTTTGTATCTCACTCACCGCTTGAATGCGCCCTGCCCCCTGTTTGAAATCCGATGATCCTCCCATTTACATTGAAATATGCCAATAAAATATCAATTGATAATTTAAAAAAAAGATGTTGCAACATAAAATATGATATTACGAGTCTTGTAATTCCAAGTTTATTGTTGGTACCACGTTCTTGATTACGGTAATTACGGTAGATTTCCAGGCAATGTCCCCTGAATCGTGGTTGAAATATACAGTGGGGTCCACAGTGAATACAAAATAGGACGTAACTAAGATATGATAATCCCTCTGTGAAAATGTAATCAATGTGATGTAGCATGTGCATAACAGGAAAAAAACAAAACAAAATATATTAAACTGTGCTACCTAATTGTTCGTCACTTTGCGTTCTGTGCTGTGCTCGTTCATAGGGTGGAATCAACTGCCATTGAAATTTATGATTATTTATAAAAATCAAGTGAATGGGTTTGTTGTGTTGATAGGTGAGCATAATTTGTCCGGCAATACATTTTTGTGGTATATTGACAGTTAAAGTTATATAACAATTTTATACAGAAGGTCACAATTTTGAATGCAAATTGTCTTACAAATATATTGCATAAAGCTTTACTAAAAATTTTATTGTTAAGACACTTTCATGCTGATAGTTCTATAAGATATTAGTTTTGTGGTGATGTAAATATTTATTTGAATTAAGCGGTCAAACAACAAACAGACAGTTTCATAATAACATGGAAGTTCATTTTTTCCTGATACTTGCAGGAATGTGTGCTCAGTTGTCTCTTATCAATGAATGGTCGCAAGGTACTGCATATGGATAGAAACAAATATTATGGTGGAGAGAATGCATCATTGACTCTTTCTGAAGTAAGCATAAATTATTTATCTTGGTTTAGTTATATTTATTTAAGTAAAAGGATTAATATTAATATTCTCTGGGTTACAATATCACTATTTTGATGTCTTCAGCACATTTGGTGGTTTTAAATTCTTAGTCATGAGCTTTATGCCTTGATATATTCCCTTGGTTTTAATTTATCTCATTTGCAGTTAGTGCAATGAATATATTACATCCACAATCTCTGAGAAAAGTGGAAAGATCTGATAGTGCGTGATGTATTTCTTGGTAGCAAATGATCGCCGTAGCGCAATCCGATCATGCTGCGTTTCAGAATTGATGATTAATACCTAGTAATAATTATAATAATGGGCAAAACAAAATTTCGTTGCATTGTTATGAAGTACACATAAATTTCAACTTATTTAATCGTAAGCGAATGATTCCGATCACATTTTCAACGCTCGATGCTGTAGAAATGAATATCCGCCTATTTGACCTGGTACGGTGTTCTTTGACCTGACAGGTCAAATCGATTATAAATCAATGAAAACGATGGATGATGTTTACGTGTTCAAATTCCCATAGCTCATTTATATATGTTAATGTTATTGAACGCAACGCAAAAGAGATTTGCCGATGTTGTTGTAGGATTTGTTTGCTTTGGATTTTGATGAGAAAGCGTTATGGTTTGTTTTTAAATAAAAAAAATAGTTGTTTTCAAAAGATAAACTGAATAGTTGAAGAATAATTTAACATTGTTTACAGCGATAACAGCTCATTGTCGAAACAAAGCTTACACATATAGGCATCAGAAAAGATTAAAATAACACCTTAAAAACTGCCGAAAAATCGCGAATTTACGGCAGAATCGGGTAATTGGTGATGGGAATTACCAAGCCATTTTATAAAATAGTGAACAAATATTGTCGTAACAAACACTAACCGTAGAATACAATCATTGTCACTGGTGGAATATTTTATATTGAAATTTCTTAATGCTATATTAGTTGTATTGCAACACATTAGTGATACGGTTACCCCTCGCTAAATCACGGGTGTCGGGATCCAAACAAAAAACGTGACATATCAGGGTTCGTGAGGGAAGGTTCATGCGTTGAAAACTGATAAATAGCACATATACACATGTGTTCGTAGTAAGTTTTCTTTATTGAAAAACATCACAGCTTACATGCCTACATGGATTCAACTCATTGTAGTGCAGTAGGCAGTAGGCAGACCGGCCAAGAAGTATGTAAAGTCGCAACGTAACACCCCGTCAAAACCTTGAGTCAGGCGACTGCCACCCTTTGTATCACAGTAATTGACGGACAGTAAGTGTTAAGTTGTCTCCCCCAGCCCTTTTACGGCCAATGAAATACAGTATGCAACGACACATTAGTTCTTTTACTTACTTCTGTTACATCCGAGTTAACTTATACCAATGTTTGTTATAGCTTACAAAATATTTGTAGACTATTGTCAAGTAATATGAAAGGGTGCACTAGAAACTAGCTAGGATATATACATCTCAGTTACGTATATGCTTTCCTATTACCTTATACTAAAATATGGGGAAATGTCTCATGGCATGAAAAAATAATGCTTTCTTTTGTCCAGGTTATATGATAAATATTTTGAGTGTGTATGTATTAAAATATCGAAAGTGAACAAAATTATGTTAATTTGCACTGTGGTGGGAATTTCCATTTCAGTTTATAAAATTGTGAACAAATATTTTCGTAAATAATACTAATGTCCTCAAGGTGTATCATTTATGCATATAATTACATATCTCATATACTTTGTATCATTTTAATTATACATGGTATTCCCAGAGTAACACCGGTTGCTAATTGCATGCAATATTCGAATCTCAACTCCGATGAAAAGACAAGTGTCTGCACTTACCGGGAAAGCCAATCATCGCGAAAGCCAATCATCGCGAAGCTGCTAGTATTCTTTAAAAAATACATGGGTTTTGTGATCCACTGTGTTACTCTGTCATTTGTTATTTCGAAAAATGTTAGAAAATATTGACTCTTGTATAATTTGAATAATACTTTTTAAACAGAAAAATAACATCTTAATTTTTTACTCCCGTGTGCGAAGCACAAAAGGAAGTCCTTGCTGCTACCCTGTCTGTATGTCTGTATGTAAATGAGGCATACACACGTCAACTTGAGCTCCTGCTGTAAGCCGTGTTTTTCACCTTTAAAACAGTTGCGTGAGTTTCTTTCTGTTTAATCCTTTCATAAGTGTTTACTGGTTTTACTTATTCATGTTTGGTTCGTTTCGGCAAAGATTTGCCCGTTTTTGGACTGATTTTGTTTTGGGTTGTTTTGGTTTGGTGGTGTAGCCAAGATGGCGGCTGCCACGTTGACCACATGTGTCAACCCATTTTCGGGATTGACCAGGAAACATGGAATTCGATGCGAATCCATCACTGTTGTCAGTATTGAGACATATGTTAGTGCTTTGGCAGATGTTGTTGGCCATCAAAATGTAATCGCTGCCTCTCGTGTCAGTGGCAGCGTGATTGCTTTTCTAGATTCGTTGTAATCGGTAGAGCAGGTATGTACACTTGGTGTCCAAACAATAGATGATTGTTTTCTTTGTGTTCAGCCCTAGGTTAAACCTACCTAAGTAATACTCTCTGGTGTTCCACCGTTTATTTCAAATGCTGCCCATAAGGTAGAACTACAAAAATATGGGCGTGTTGTGAGCTCAGTCAGAGTAATTCCTCTGGGTTGCAAATTACCTCGGCTCAAATACGTCAAATCATTTCGCAGAGAAGTCTACATGATTTGCAGTGATAAAATTGATGCTGTCACAAACGTTACACACGAGCAACATACCTGCAGAATTTATTTTTTAACATATGAAATTGTTTGTAACAAATGCCACAAAAAGTTTCACATAAAACGCAACTGTCGACAAAATGACGAAACATACATACCAATAGTGGTGAAGCAGATGGAAACAACGGATACACGTATCTCACAACCAGAAACTAATAATGAAATCAATGAAACTGATACGAATGTACGAACTAATGATAATAAACAAACGGGAATTTCTCACACAGAAACAGAGAGTGTGAGTAATACTGATGAAGTACAAAGCAATGCTAAACAAGCTGAAAACGAAAACACAAACGATGAAGGTCAAAATGAAATGCATGCCGATCAAAGTCAAATTATTAGTGAAAAAAACAAAGCTACTGATGGATGTAAAACTAAAACTGATATCAATACAAACAAAAATAAAGCTCATAAAAATAAAACACGCTCTCAACATAAAACCACTGACACTAATGTAAACGACTTTGATCAAACTAATGTCATTGACACTGACGCGTGCGGTGCTCATTGTGAAGCAAATGATCTGTTAATAACAATGAAACTGATAACATAAATAGTTCAAGTCAGATTGACTCTTTAACTACTGATGTTGATCTTTCAGTGTCAGTCAATGATTCAATTGGTGTTTGTACTGGTGAGGACAGGGTTTCAACCCCTGACTCTATCCCTACGCTTGGTGGGGATGTTGGGCTTTCATTTTCTGGTGACATAGAGTTTTCTCCGGAGGTCATTGATGTCTTTACCCAAAAGTGTGTTGACCCTCCAGACAAGGATGACATTGATTCTATTTGCTCGGATATTTCTGATATATAGCAACTAATACAAGATGATCAAGCAAACGAAAGAACACTGTCCGATGAATCTATTAAGCTTTCCCTTAAGGATTCATACAACTCGAAAAGAATTGTAGAACACACGATAGAGTTTTGTTCTGAACTTAGGCTATTGGCGAGATCACTTCAACAATATCGTAAAAATACTGAAATGCCCATTAAAGAAAAAAATAGAGTCAACAAATGACATTCAATTTGGCAAAGCACTATATACATGTAACGAAAAATATTGTTGGTTTGAAAGCAATAGGAAACCGATAAATGAACTGTATGACGTGATGTTACAACTGAATTAAGTCTGCCACTATTCAGCTTCACTTTAACTTCTCTGACCACCGCTCTGTTACACTCTACCTTTCATTCACTTTCACCAGGAATCGTAATCCAGTCTGGTGCTTCAACACTAACCTCCTGGAAGACGAAGAATACTGCAATATAATTAGGGATTACTGGTCGAGAAATGCAAATTACCGTTTTAAAACAAATCAAGAGTGGTGGGATGTGGGAAAACTGGGAATAAAAGACTTAACCAAACAATACACTGCTACGCACAAACTTCAGACAGACTAAAGCTTATATGCAAAAAGCAATTAACGCCTGGAACAACAACGCACAGACTAACCCCAGTCTTACAAACCAACTCAAGGAGAAGCAAACATTATATGAAAACTTGGTAAAAAACGAAGTCCGGGGAGCAGTCATAAGATCTTGACACATGGTTCTTAATGTTGGAAATGCTAGTCGAAGCGCCAGCAGTGCTTCCGGACTTACCGGACCTGCCGTCCCAACCAGACGGCGGACTACCAACGAGCCCAGCAGGTATCACTTACATGCATAGAAGCTCTCAGTAGACCGCACATACGAAAGCCTTATCTGAGCGGGCTGCCAACGTCCTGGCCAGGGCGAACAGGGATTCCACCTACACGGCCTACATTTCTAGGCTGCAAGAATACACTGATTGGTGTAGCGGAAGGGAGATTGTTCCATACCATCCCTCTATTGGCCAGGTAGCAGGCTCCTTCGTCCACCTGTTTGACGAAGTGGGTTTGTCCTACGCAGCGAGCATTGGCTACAGGTCGGTCTTGTCCCCCACCACTCAGAATGTACGGGAACAAGACTAGCCGATTGTCCTATTATTAGGAGACTATTTACTGCTTTCCAGACGCCAAGACCCCCATACAAGGGAGCCGCCCAACTGGGACTCGTTGGCTGTGTTGTCTTCTCTAAGCAGACCACCTTTTGAGCCTCTCCAATCAGCACCACTCAAATTTTTGACGTGGAAAATAGTCTTCCTACTGGCCCTCGCCTCAGGTTGGCGCCTGTCAGAGCTAG